CATTGACACATCATTATCACCCAGAGTCCATAGTTTACATAGGGGCTCACTCTTGGTGTTGTACATTCTATGGGTTTTGACAAATGTATAATGACATGTATCTGCCATTATAGTATCTCATATAATTATTTTCTAAAAGCATCCATAGCGGTATGTACTGAACAAGGTATGGAGGAAATGATGCTAGAATTTGCTTCAAAATAATTTGGGAGAGGTCTAAAAAGTTGAAATATAAATGAAAAAAGATTGGCTATATGTTGATAATCTTTGAAGCTGGCTAACGAGTACATGGGAGTTCATTATATTAGTCTATTTTTGTATGTGTTTGAAATTTTTACCTCTAAAAGTACAAGAGTCCAAGTTGAAGCATGCACTCTGGAAGTAAACCTGGTGAAAAGAAAAATCTAAAATAATTTAAACATTTTAAATTAGAATAAAGAAAAAACAAAAGTTAAAAAAAAGCCGAAGCATGATTTTTCTAGGTCTAGGATAATGGGACACTGGTGGTGACAGAATGGAAAATTCTGGAACTAAAGTCTGCAGAGATAATGACACTGTCTTATTTCATTTATAGGGCCTGAGAGTCAGTATACTAAGACTGCCCAGGAGATTGTGAACGTCTGTTACCAGACATTGACTGAGGTAGGTGGTAAAGAGAAGATCTCCTTGTAATCTAGCTTTCTGAAATCCTTTTGTTGAGTGAGGAGCCTTCCATGACTATACTGTTTTAAAATGTAACATCCCACCCCCTCCACCCTCACTCTGCATTCCCTGTTTCCTTCCCTGTTTTATTTTGATCATCATCTGTGTCCTGCCACTAGAATATAAGCTCCATGAAGGCAGAGATATTTTTGTCTGTTGTTTTATTTACTTTTCTATCCCCAGTGCTTAAAATGTATGTCGAACGAATTTATTAATTTCATTTCTCAGTATGATGAGCATTTGACTCAACTTGAGAAGGATATTTGTACCGCTAAAGAAGCAGCTTTGGAGGAAGCAGAATTAGAAAGCCTAGACCCAATGACCCCAGGGCCCTACACACCTCAGGTGAGTCTGAGGACTAGGAACTTCCTCTTATAGTTTTCTTATTGGTTTGGGAAATTGGGAGCATGTTAACAGATCTATTTACTGAGATACCATTCTTCTCTGTCCTTCCTCTTCATATGCCTTTCGCGTGCTTTCTTGTCTTCTCAAAGGCTAAGGTGAGTGAGGGCCATGGGTCTTGGTGGCCTTTTTGAATCCAGAGGAGGCAGCTGTGGGATGAATGAGCGGGGCTGGGCATTAGTTGTTTAGGCAATATTTGTGACTAGCAGATTCCTGACTACTATAGCCAGAGGCATCCTCTCACAATCTCTGGAGTTCCCTTGACCATGAATCTAGGGGCTCTAGGGCATCCCTGCAAGGTAGACTTCTCAGTTATAGACATGGGCCACATTGTTCCACTCATTCCCTCAGAGGTATCTCAGTGTAGCTCAGATGTCACCCATTTTCCTGGATTGACCCCCTCTCCTAGTAAAGGAAGACAGGTAATATTTATAATGTTCTTAAGTTTACATGTCAAAAGACAAGAGAGCAGGATGAATATGAAATTTTTAGTTTTTGTGGTCTGACTGAACCCTTGAATAAACTAAGAGTATATTTTCCCTATACTGTACTCTTAGAAGGTTGGCATATTTGAAGAATAGAACTTAACAGACTATATAACTGGTGCTTGATGTCTGTATTGGAGGCATTATGGTAGAATGGAAAGTACATTAGGTTTCACATAAAACAGGCCTGGGTTTGAGTCTTAGCTCTGCTACTGTCTAGCTTTGTCATCTTGGAAGGTTAAGTTAACCTCTCTCAGTTTCCTTTTCTCTAAAATCTGCTTTTTCAAGATTGTTGTAAACATTAAATGAGTTAATTTGCCAGACACATAGTAAATATTCAGTAAATGTTTGTTTCTTTTTCCGTATGAAAGTTGTCTATAAAGTTCCGAAAAGCTCTTTCAGATTTAAGCAAATATTTTAATGCAGAACTCTCCCATTTCCCATAGGAAATTTTTTTTTCATTCTACCTAGGTTTCACTCTGAACTGATAATGCAACCTGTGTGATCTCTGTTGGATTATTGCTATCTCTATATCTTGTTCATGCACTCTCCCTATCTATCTTTTACTCTCTCTTTCATCCCAAAACCTAGGTTACTGAGGGGCCAGGTATAAAGAACCCTCATATACTTCTTCAAGGCCCAGAACAAGGAAAGGCTCTTGGAATGTGTGGGCAGATTGGGTCAAGGGGGCTTGGGTGAGTGATGTTGCCCAGGAAGGCCCTATTTGCTAATAGGCCCACAGCTTCCACAAGTCACTTTCTGGTAAGTTAAAGCCTGGGTATTAGCCATCATTCCCCAGGAGAGTCTAGCCACTGAATGGCACATGGTTTGCTCATTTCTAGGACAGCCTAGTCCTAGTCCTTTGGTGAGTCAAAGCCTTGGACCCAAAAGTCATTTTCCTTTCTTCCCTCCTCCTCCCCCATTACCTCAAATGGCTGAGGAAAACCTGTCAGCTGTTCTCTCTCTTGAGAAGTAGCCCTTGTTTGATGCAGTGAGAGGGTTTCCTGTGAAGAGTAGGGTTAGATAGTACTGCTTCATTATTCCGGGTTATCCATTCATCATTCCCTTTATTCACACATACACAGTTTAAGATAGTTAGCCCAACTCATTATCTCTTAACTTCAGGAAGATGCACGTGAGTTACTGTCGTTAACTCTTTATTACTCCTCAGACTCCAGTGTTTATTAGGGAGTGTTTGTAAAAGTTTAAACCTGCCCTGATACAATTCTGGTTGTATAAAAGCATGACAGTAATCATACCTTACTTTCAGCTTTTATATGGTGGTAGTCGATAATACATTTTCACCTAACTTGCATTGCATCATCCATTCAGCTTAACACTTTTTCCCCACACAGCCCTTTTTTCCACACTATGCTTTAGGATTTTGCAGAGATTTCAATCCCCTTATTTTCCCTTCTTCTGTTCCACAATGGTTTATCTGCTCTGTAATACTTTGAATTCTGTTTTGCCTCTATCTCTCCAAAACCGTCTTCTCAGTCAGTCTTCCTTGCTTGTTTGCTTTTCTTAAAAAAAACAAAGTGGGCCAGGCGCAATGGTTCATGCCTATAATCCTAGCACTTTGGGAGGCCAAGGCAGGAGGATTGCTGGAGGCCAGGAGTTTGAGACCAGCCTGTGCAAGAGTAAGACCGAGTCTCTACAAAAAATAGAAAAAGTAGCCAGATGTGGTGGCGCATGCCTATAGTCCCAGCTACTCAGGAGGCTGAGGCAAGGAGGATCCCTTCAGCCCAGGAGTTGGAGGTTACAGTGAGCTATGATGATGCCACTGCACTGTAGCCCAGGTGACAGAACAAGACCCTGTCTCCAAACAAACAAACAAAAAAAACTGCTATAGAAAAAAACACAGAGTAACTCATATGTGGGGTTTTTGTTGATAAAAGTAACATTCATTGGGGAAAACTGGAAAATGCAAACAAGAAATAAGTTACCTGTAATCATTTCTACCACTCAGAAAGAACATCAACCATTGTGAATATTTTGATGTATTTCTTTCATATTCGTGGTGTATGTGTTTATGTTTATAAACACACTTTTAAAATGAAATTGGTCAATGTGGTTTTATGTCTTGTTCTTTTCACTTTACGTTGTATTGTCAGTGTTTTATCTAGTCCCTCTGCCCTCCTGACATTGAATAGCCCATTTGCTAAATCCCTCTTCTTTTCAGGGGAGAGAAGAGGGAAGGGATCTATAATTTGAGTACCAGGAATTGGGTAAGGAGCTTACACATACCACATACCTCTTAATTCTCACAACAACCCTATGAGGTAGACATTATCATCCATGTTTTACAGTTGAAGAAACCAAAGCTTAGAGATGTTAAGTAATTTGTTAAAGTTACTCAGCTAGTAAGTGTTGGAGCCAAGACTCAAACCCAGGGCAGTTTACTCTGAAGCCTGTGGTTTTTCACCACACCATTTTGCTTCATAGCACCCTCTGACAAGCTCATAAACTATGAAAGCATTCCATGCTCTTGTTGGAATTGAACTTTTTTTATCCCATTTTCTCTTAAAGGTCTCTAAATCAAATAATCAAAATAGCACTCATTGAAACCCTGGGCCTAAAACAGTAAGACAAGGCTTAGAAAAAACTAGGTTGTTGACCAGAAAGGCTGTTAGAACATAAAATTGTTCCATGGCTTTGATGTATTTCTGCTTCAGGCTTCTGATCACATACATCAGGTGCTTATCTGCTTAGAATAGGCAACATTGGTAAGATTCCCCAAAACTTGCCGTAAAGCTATGCCAAACTATGTTTTCTCTTTAACTGGATTGCTCTGCATGACCTTTTTCTGCAGTGAATGCTCTAAAGGGGAGTTATCTGTATTTCTTTTCCCTTTCTTAGATAGAAACTAAGTTGTATGTTTTGTGCCACAGCCTCCTGATTTGTATGATACCAATACATCCCTCAGTATGTCTCGAGATGCCTCTGTATTTCAAGATGAGAGCAATATGTCTGTCCTGGATATTCCCACTGCCACTCCAGAAAAGCAGGTAACACAGGTAGGACGTGTTCACTTTTTCTCTTTACAAGATTGATAGTATGCCTAGAGGTGGGGTGGGGTGTGATAATGGTGATATGTGACATACATCAAGGATGACTGGGCCCCTTGGCCCTAGGAATGAAGGCTTAGAAATAATGATTTCAAAGTGGGATGGTGGCAGGTCACGTGACTGGCATTGTCTTCTGTCTGTGACTATGGGCAGAATCAGGTACAGCAGAACTTCAGGGAAGGCACAAATGTGAAAAAAGTATATGAGGCACCAGAGTAACCTGACAGGTGACTAGAAAGTCTAACTGCATTCAGAGACAGTTCAAAATAATGGGCCCGCTACTTCATTATATTTATGTTACAATCTAAATTTAAATTGTTTATAAAATTAAATTTTAAAAATTGGCTTTTTCTAGAGGTATCAGAAGATATTCCTAGTCTGAAGCCAGAAATCCTGTAGCTATTCTCAGCCAGGATTCCATTGGAAAGTGTAAAACCGAGGAGGGTTTTTCTATCCCAAAGAGTCCAACACAAGCTACAAGGAAAGCTTGAGTTAGAAAGGAAGAGTTTCCTTGATACAGTAAGAGTAGACTAAGGACCTTCCTGTTCTTTGGGTTTTTTACCCTGGCCATGATTTCCAAAGAATGGGGGAAAATGCACATGCCTTGAGCTGTGTAAACAGCCCCCACTAGCAGTGGGGTTGGCTGGGATATCAGGGAGGAGCATCCATCCTGGGTGAGAGCCCTTGGTTAACTCCTCCTACAGGCACATCCCTCAATGATGTGCTATTTGTGTTCCTTACTCAGATGCGCCAGGGCCGAGGTAGGCTGGGCGAGGAAGACTCTGATGTAGATATTGAAGGGTATGATGATGAGGAGGAGGATGGGAAACCTAAGACTCCAGCCCCAGTGAGTATGCTTACAGAAAGCTTATGGTTACATTATACCCTTACATGATAGGAGCCCCAACAGTACAGGGCAGGCCAAATCCCAAGGTGATATCAGAGGGTCTCCACAGTGAGTCCCAGTCTGACTTTAATCCTTGGAACCAGCTAAACAAGTCTATCCACCAAAATTACTTAACTTCTTGTGAGGCAGCAGGGGAGGGGGGTTCCTGGTGGTGGCTTCTGGTCTCTTACTTGATCAATTGATGGGGCTTTGACCCCCAACTGGTCTCATTCAGGAAGGTGAAGATGGAGATGGTGATCTTGCAGATGAAGAGGAAGGAACTGTGCAACAGCCTCAAGCCAGTGTACTATATGAGGATTTGCTTATGTCTGAAGGAGAGGATGATGAGGAAGATGCTGGGAGTGATGAAGAAGGAGATAATCCTTTCTCTGGTAAGTCTTGATTATTGCTTCCGTTCCTATATAGTTCACCATAGCACCCTCAAGACTGGGTAGGAAGCTGTTGTCCACATAGGTTTTTATCAGAAGCTGTTTAGAGAAAGAAACACAATGTAGTAGGAGATGCAAAAGACAGCAGTGGAAAAGGCAATGCCTAAGTAACAGCTTTGATTTGGATACTTCTTAAAGATGAGAACAAAGTGTTAAGTGTGGCAACAGGGAGGGAAAATTAAGAAAAAAGATCCTGTTTTGGGATGTTTTGTGAATTAATGGCAATGGCAGAGGAAAAGTATAGGAGGAAATGATGGGAAAAAAAACTGGTTGGACTGGGATGGAGAAAGGAAATTGTAAAGAATTCAGTTTCTAAACTATAGATCTTGCCACTGTTGATCCTAGGCCTTTGAGGTGAATAGTGCAGGCAAGATGCCTGTGTAGATGTGTGAGAGTGACTAATTTTAGAAGACCAAGCCAAAGACGTTAATTCTGTCAAGCTTATCTTTTTTTTTCTTTTGAGACAGAGTCTTGCTGTTTCCCAGGCTAGAGTCCCGTGGCATTAGCCTAGCTCATAGCAACCTCAAACTGGTGGTGTCAAGCGATCCTCCCTCCCTGGCCTCCCAGAGTGCTAGGATTATAGGCGTGAGCCACCTCACCTGGCCAAGCTTATCTCTTGATAAACCAGGATCTGTCTCTCTTTACAGCTATCCAGCTGAGTGAAAGTGGAAGTGACTCTGATGTGGGATCTGGTGGGATAAGACCCAAACAGCCCCGCATGCTTCAGGAGAACACAAGGATGGGCATGGAAAATGAAGAAAGTATGATGTCCTATGAGGGAGACGGTGGGGAGGCTTCCCATGGTTTGGAGGATAGCAACATCAGGTAATCGGCAGCAACATACTACAGGGCTGTGGCATCAGTGCCCAGCTATGATATCAGAGGGCCCAGCATCAGATTACTTTCATCCATCAAACGTTTATTTCCTGAGCACCTACTAGGGCCAGGCACTGTGCTAGGCCCTGGGGATATACAGAGGAGCAAGACATGTCCTGCCCCTGAGGAGCTCACAGTCTAGTGGAAAAGACTGACACAAATAAATCATTACAAATATAATGTGATAAGTGCTATAGCATAAGTAAGTACAAAGTGCCAAGGTACCACTGAAGAGGGAGTGCCTCACTCTGCTTAGAGTAATTAGGGAAAGTTTCAGAGACAAGAAAACATTTGAACTGGACCAATAGATGGCAGCAGGTAAGGAGATCTTTATAGATGGACGGTATGTTCAAAGGCACGGAAATACAGTACAAAGTACGTTGAGCAAAGGGAGGTTGTTGGGGAATTGAGGTGCCAGAAGTAGCAAAGGATTATATTGTGGGGGAACTTCAATGGCATGCTAAGACATTTGGATTTTATCTTATAGGTAATAGGAATCATCAGTTTAAGAAAAAGGAAGTAACATCCAATTTGTATGTGAAATAACTCTTAGGGCAATATGCGACAGATGATGAGGATATCAACTGGGATCTGTCAGGAGCAAGGGGAAAATGAAGAGACATACTCAAGAGCTATTTTAGAAGGTAGATCAATTAGATTTAGGAGGTTAAGAGGTCAGATAAATAATGAATGAGAATGTCACTGAGGTAGGAAAGAGAAAGAACAGGTATTAAATAGGGTAGGAAAGGAGGGAAAATTGGATTTGGCTTTTGGACATGTTGGACTTAATGTACATATGATACATCTAGTCAGCAGGCAGTTAGAATTTGTTTGTTCATTCAGCAAATATTTATCCTAAGTACAAAAACTACTATGTGGTCCTTTCCTTCAGGGAGTTCAGTCTAGCAGGTAACTTAAAGCAGGTAAATAGGCAATCACAGTGTAATATGAAGTGTTATGACAGGCAACCACAGGGTTTTTCTGGATTTGGGTAGAGATGGGGGAGGGGACCTGGTCAGGGAAGGAAACTGAGCCAAATATGAATAGGAATTAGCTAGATGAAGAAGAAAGCAAAGGGCATCCCGGACGCCAGGAATAGCATATGTGAAAACACAGAGGCATGAAACACTTTTAGAGAACACAAGTAGCTCAGTGTGAACTGGAGCTTTTGACCGATCTGTGTAAAATCTATGATCCATGTGATAGAAACAATTTAAAGAGGTAGGTAAGGACCAAATTATGATGGGCTTGAAAGTTTTGGGCAGGCAGTGAATGAGAATGGTATGATTAGATTTACATTTTAGAAAGATTACTCTGTACCTCAAAAGAAAAATGGGCAAAAGGAGTGAACTGATAATTCACAAAATAAATGCAAGCAGCCAATAAATATATGAAAAAGTAACTTACCTAAAAAGCAAAGAAATGCAATAAGAAAAACAAGCGCAGTTTTTTTCCTATCAAATTGGTGAAGATTAAAATGAACAATAATGCCCAATGTTGGAAAAGGATATAAGGCGGGGAGGGGAAACATTCTTAAACTACTGGTGGTGATGTAAATTGACAAAATGGGGTGGGTGGGAGAGAGGTATAGCAGTTTATCATTATAAATAAAAAAAATTTTAAAAGTACATCCCCTTTGACCCAAAAATTCCACATTTAAGAAATTATTCAAGCCGGGCATGGTGGCGCATGCCTGTAGTCCCAGCTACTTGGGAGGCTGAGGCAGTATGCTTGAGCCCAGGAGTCTGAGGTTGCTGTGAGCTAGGCTGACGCCACAGCACTCACTCTAGCCCGGGCAACAAAGTGAGACTCTGTCTCAAAAAAAAAAAAAAAAAAAGAAATTATTCTGTGGGAATAATTAAATACCTTCATCAAGATATTTGTATAAGAATGTTTATCACAGCATTGTTTCTAATAGTGGACAAATTGGAGATAGCTTCAATGTCCTGGTGAGAGACTGTTAAATCATGTTATAGCCATACAGCGGAATACCATGCAGCTATTAAAATTATGCTGTAGACATGTTTATGGACATGGAAAGATATTTATTATAATCATTAGTGAAAAAAACAGATTTCCTGGAGAGTATGTAGAATATCCCAATTTTGTAAATTAAAAAAAAATGTTTAGGCATCTAAAGTGCATAGAAAAAAATTTGGAAGGTCATATACCAAAAGATCATCTCTGGGTGGTGGAGTTATTGCTGATTTTTTTTTCTTTTTTTTTTTTTCTGGTGTATATTCTAATTTTTTTTTTTTTTTACCAGTGAACATGCATTACTTGTGTGATTTTTTTTTAAGTAAAATTAAGAATAAACAAACAAACAAAAAATAAAGAGCACTCTGGCAAAAGTATGAAGAAGTAATTGGAGGAGAGCAAGACTGGAGGCATGAAGACTTATTTTAGTAGTGCAGTCCAGAGTTAACAAAGGACTCAGCCAAGGCAAACAGAGTAAGGATGGAAAGGAGGGGGTAGAGACAAGATATATTGAAGAGAGAATCTTCAGGACTGTTGACTAATTGGATACTGTAAATAGTAGATGAAACCATGAGGCTATCAGAGCATTTATGGTCATGTAAGCTGTCAGTGTGTGTTGTTCAGGTGTAGGGGAGTTTCTTTCATTCAGGTTCTTGTGTATATGAAGTTGGCAAGTTGATGTTCTTGAACAGGACCATTTTTCTCTCAGAGACTTGTAGAACAGTCCAGAACCAGTCACTTTAGTGTCCAGGGGAGGTGAGATGGGCTGATCCCTTGGTGGCACTCACAATGGGAATGGTCAGCTAGAGGACAGTGTCCGAGCTTGAGAGATGACATGTTTCTCTTCTCAGTTATGGGAGCTATGAGGAGCCTGATCCCAAGTCGAACACCCAAGACACAAGCTTCAGCAGCATCGGTGGGTATGAGGTATCAGAGGAGGAAGAAGATGAGGAGGAAGAGCAGCGCTCTGGGCCAAGTGTACTAAGCCAGGTCCACCTGTCAGAGGACGAGGAGGACAGTGAGGATTTCCACTCCATTGCTGGGGACAGTGACTTGGACTCTGATGAATGAGGCTTCCTTTGGGCCTCCTTGGTCAGCCTTCCCTGTTCTCCAGCCTAGGTGGTTCACCTTTCCCCAATTTGTTTATATTTGTGCAGTGTCTAATCATGAAATCACCAGATTAACTAACACCTTAGCCTTTAAAAAAATAGTAAGTAAATGATAATAAATCACCTCTCCTGATCTTCATGGGGCAATGTTACCCTTCCTTTTAGCAACCCCCTTCCCCCACCACTACGAAAAAGAAAGAGCGAGCTCATTCTTCTCCTGTTTCCCTTTAACTCCATTTATTGCTCTTGGTATAATTTTTCCCTGGGGAAGGAGGAGAAATTATGAAAGGACTAATAACTTTATGTCCTCTTGATGTAGTAGATATTTTCCAAGCATGGTATCGTCTCAGCTTTCTAATTTTCAGGCTGGAACAGGTGAGAACCCTCCCTGCTGGGACAGAGAATTGGGTTCTGATGGACTCTGTGCCACACTAAAAAACAAACCTATTGGACAAACTGCCCGTTATTTTATTATTTATTTGATTATACAATGCCTTGTTCCAAAATGGATTTGAGGCAAGTGACTATAAATCTTTGAAACAGCCTATTTGTCAGAAATGATGTGTTGCCATGTAAATGTGTTCTCTCCCTCCCCCCCAAGGGAAATGGTAGGAAAATGGTAAGTTTCTTAGGGCAAAGACTGTGTCTTTTGTTTCTTTTCATGCTTAGGATATGGTTCTGTGCATAGTAGGTACTCAGTAAATGTTCCTAAAATCACAAAATCCTCAGTAGATGTTACTGAACGTCTGCTTCATGATAAGCACTCTACCAGATCCTTGGGGTGCAAAGGTAAATAAGACACATCTCTTTTACCCAAAGAGCTTACCATGAAGTTGGGGAAGGGGGAGTGGAATTCAAAACATGTTAATAAATCATTATAGTACTGTGAGATAAGTGCAATTAAGAAGCTAGCTGTAAAGTATAGGGGAAAATAGAGGAGTGATCATGTCTGAAAAAAAGTCAGGGAAGTCTTCCTAGAGGTAATTTTTAAGCTGATTGTTGAAGAATTAGTAGGAGCTTGCCAGATGGAAAAGTCCAGGCAGAGTGTAACATGAAGTAAAAAGGCCAAAGTCTAGAAATGGCAGAGTGTGTTCCTAGTTTGTTTGTTTGTTTGTTTGTACCTGCCTTGTTCCAGAAAGGATTTAAGATGGTTTATGTGCTAGGCTGTTATTGCTGGAATGGCTAGAGATGAGACTAAAAGATAGGAAGCATATAATCAAGAGCATTTGATACTAATGAGTGTGAATTTTATATTATGGGAAATAAGCTCTAGAAGAGTGAAATAATCAGGTTTGTGTTTTAGAAATTTTCTATATGTTCAATGAATGAAGAAAGAAATTGAAGAATCAACGATATGTAACAAGACGTGTGATTCCCGTTTTTGTAAAAGACAAAACCATGTGTGTTTATTTATGTGTGTTTATATATACTTGCACATGCGAAGGAAAAAGGTCTGAAAGGATGTAAACTAAACTGTTCACAATGATAACCTCTGGGGAATGGGATTGGAGGGAAGGGGGTTTATGTGCTTGTATGTATACTGGGTGGGGTATTGTGCTTTTATTTCTGTATCGTTTGAATTTTTTTACGAGTATGTATTATTTTTGTAATAAATTTTTTTTTAATTCCAGCAATAATGTGGAGAATGGCTTGGAGGGGAGCATATCTAGTTCAAGTAAGGGGGAAAGGACCCCAAAGTAGGGCTGTGACATTGGGATGGAGAGGAGGGGGATGGATTGAAGAAATCTTTAGGGAGTAGAATCAACAGGATTGGCATTTGGGGGTGGAGGAGGAAGAATGGAAAGTGGCTTTCAGAATTTTGGATTGGAAGATTGGGTGGGTACATGGTATTCATTCATTCATTTCAACAATTATCCAAGCCACCTATTTTTATCGAGCAGTCTGCCAGATGCTGATAGAGAAGTAAAATATAGTCTCTGATTACAAGGAACTTAAGGTCTAGAATGAGATATAGATATGTAAATAAATAAGTTTAGTAAAAAGCAATCATTGCAATGAATAGTTATTTACAAGATTCTGTGGTGAGAGGAAGAAGTTCTCAACTCTACTTACGGAGAAAGGACAGAAATGCTTCACAGAGGAGACCCTTAAAAGGTCATGAAGAGTAGGGAGGCATTTACCGGATAGTCATAGGGGTAGAGGGTGGGAGTGCGTTCTAAGCAGAGGGAACAGAATACTTAGGAGCAATAGAGTGGAGAGGGATGATGCTAGATGAGAGAGAGATGATGGAGACCTAAACTATGACTGAGGCATTGACAGTAAGGATGGAATGAGAGATATATCTTGGTGACTGATTGGAAATGGGGGGAAAAATAATAGAACCTGGTTTTATGATTTAGGTGACTGGGTAAATGAGTAAATGATACCATTCACTGAACAGATTGAGGGTAGAAGGTCGGGGAAACAGCTGAGCTTGGTTTGAAGCATGTAAGCTTGAAGTATAATATATATAAAGCTTAGGATCTGAACAACCTTTAGGAATAGGTGAGATCACATAGGAAGCATGTGTAGAGTCAGAAGAGCATGGAAGATAGAATCTCAGTGAACACCGATATTTAGGGGTGGGGAGAAATAGAAAACCTAAGGAGCAGTATT